CATAATTCTTGAATCTTTTGACTCAAAATCTTACCCATGAATAGCTATCAATAAATCTTACATCTAGCTGCTGCGTGTTGTTTTTTTTATCTAACAATTTGTTGATTGTTCTAAGCTTTCTGTAATGTCCGAGAAGACACGCCGTGTAGTAGTCTGACAAAGCCCAAGAAACTAAGCTTGCCATCCGAATGTCTTATCCAGTCTTGAAGAACAACGTGTACCGGGACTGATGGCCCGAGTCCGAGTTCCTGCAACCATCAACGACTAATGTTATAAAGTTTCGCTCTTCGTGAGTCTCTTAAGTGAAATAACTAAAAGGTTGATTTATATTTTACCGATGCAAGTTCCTCAATCATGATGGGTCTATTCCCGTCTTTCTCAAACAACTCGTAAGCACGTCGTGCGTGTTGCTCCCATGTTTCCATTGCTTCCAGCTGATAAACGCTTAAGGCTGATGCACAGAACTCTTCAAAGTCTAGTTTCTTGTATTGAAGACAACTAATCTGCATCCCAAAAGAGATTCTTAGCAAGTTAAACCACCAAACCTAATGGTAAAGCGTAGTCCATCTGATTATTTGCCTTGTTTTCTTACCATGTGAACGAAATCCAATACTCGTGAATCCTTGGTAGCATCTGTTGAGCTCTTTAGGATTGCCTGAGATTTGTATGAAAAAATCAAAGAATGACAGAAATTTCCAAATGAAAAGGGAACATGCATAGATGGAAATCATGGAATTAGAACTCACTGTTTTGTAATTCTGCATCGAGACATATCCATTCTTGTTTGGCCCCAACAATGTAAATTGCTCCCGCAGATAAGCTAACTGCGGTACAGTTAATGTCTTGGCAAGAGCCTGGAACCATGAAAAAAAACTATTAATCATACAGTTTTCATCGATGAAGCTCAACAATCATTGGCCAAGTAGTATATGTCACAGCTTTTGCAGAATCCAACTCACCGCTAAAGCCGATTTTCTCAATGAAGTTGACATTATGTACACTTTTACAAGCTTGTATATGATCATATCAGATGGAATCTTTAGTTCATGCGAGCCAACCAGCCAGGGATGACCTTAGGAAAAAGACAATTGATTATTCAGATGTTCAAAATATAAGAAATGCGGAACCATAAAAACATGAAAACGATGTGTTAAACCCATTAAAAAGATCAAGATGATTATACTTACACAAAGCCTGGGCCGCAGTTAGTCTTTTACGGTAATCTTTGTTTAGCAGTCTTTTCACAAAATCTACAGCATCAGGTGATAGAGACGGCCAAGGAGCTTCTTCAAAATTGGGTTCTGCCTTAAGGACAGCTCGGAATATTCCAGATTCAGTACGGGCCCAAAAGGGTCGACTTCCACAGAGAAGAATATAAGCAATCACTCCAATACTCCACATGTCAGCTTCTGTTCCATATGTACGGTGTAAAACCTCCGGGGCCACGTAATAAGCACTTCCTACAATATCATTCAACCTCTCGTCTGCAGAATTGCAAAACACTGTCAAATTTTTCCGTTTAACAACGAGATGAGTTCGACTGGAGAAATTTCAGGTCAATATTATCATCTCTGACCTGGCTTGACATAATCAGAAAGACCAAAATCAATTGCTTTCAGAGGTGAAGTCTCGTCCTTGGTAGTGAACAGAAAGTTCTGTCAGAGGAAAACATACAAATAGAAAGAAACATAACCGTCATTATCGCTCTGCATAAATTAGTGGAACTCATTATGTGTACAAAGACTACTGATAATGTGATGGGACCATGAAAGTGAAGTGTCACCTAAAGCCAAAACGATTCAACAAAAAAAAAAAAAACAGTAAGAGAACAATCTGGAAATTAAACATCAACATGGATGTAAAGTACCTCGGGTTTAAGGTCACGGTGAACCACACCTTGTAGATGACAGTAAGCAACCACACTAAGAATCTGAACCATAACTTTTCTAGCATCATCTTCTGAGTATTTGCCACCCCTAAATGAGCCCAAGTTCAAGAAAGCAAAACCAGTCAAAGCACGATTCATCAAAGACTATCATTCGAAAGACAGAATCATGTGTGATGTAGCAATTACCTTTGAAGTATTTTGTCCAAGAGTTCACCACCTTTGCATAACCTGATGTAAGAAACTAGAGATTACATTCTTTTTCTCTCAATCCTGGAATTGGAGAATGATCAAATGAGCTTAAGGAAATCTCACTGAGGAATGTATACTTACTCCATGACAATATAAACATTTTCATCATCTTCAAACGCGTCATAGAACTGAACTAGGTTCGGATGACCAGTCAAAGCCCGCAATATCTTCACTTCTCTACTAACATCTTCAATTGCAATTGCAGTTGTCATCTGCAGCCAACAACATCCAACACTAAGCAATGAATCAAACGAGCAACAAGCTCAAGGATATTGTTTCAATTCACGCTCAGACCAAATACACGAACAATATACATTCTCCCACAGTGAAAACTAAGACTGATAAACACATAGCATTCAAACACATTCGACTTCTGCAGCATCTACGTACGAATTTAACCCGAGCTCCAAATACATTTGGCAATCTACTACAATCCACATAACGAATACAGTAACTAAAGAGAAAATCGATTTAAGTTTCAAAGTAAAGACAGAGGAAGAACAAACCTGAGATTTAGGAATAACTTTCACAGCTACTTCTTGACCTTTCAAGTTACCTTTTTTCCCTTTAGCAGAGCAAGTATACCCAAAATGTCCACGACCCACTTCACCATCAATCTCATAGTGTGAAGCAAACTGTTTCGAGAACCCAAAACTCTTATCGAGACCGATCTCAAATTCCTTACCTTCAGGAATCGAGACCTCGTTACGCTTAGTGGAGCCATAGCGACGAGCGAGGAAAGCTCGTATGTGCTTTGCAGGTGAAGGAGGAGGAAAAGGTCTCTTGAAGATACGAAGAGGCGTAGAACTCACGCTCGATGATATTGCAGGTGAGGATTTGAATAAGCTAGGTAAAGGACTAGGGCTGTAAAACGGAAACCCAGATGATTTCGCCGGTTGCGAATTCGTCGGAGCTTCGTCGATTTCGCCGGAAACTTGGTGGGTATTCTTCGATTGATGCTCGATGGGTTTCCCATGACAAATCCCCATCAATTCAAACGAAAGGTTCAATTTTTCTCGGACCAATCAGTTAGTTCTCGAATTGGTATAATTTTCCCGGGAAAAAATCGAGACTTTAAACAAAAATACCCAGAAATCAGAGAAGGGTGAACTAAAGTTTCGATTTTTTTTAGAGATAGATTGAGAATTGAGAGTGGATTAATGGGAGAAGAAGAAGAAGATAAGCTACACGCATAGACGAAGAAGAAGGAGAGAAGCGAGTTTCGCTATAACAACAAGGAAGGTTTTAAGTAAAGACAGTAGAAGAAGCAAAAGCAAAGTGTTAAGAAATGGAGAAAATAAAGGAAGAAGAAGAAGATGCTTTTGCAGTAGCAACAAGGAAAATAAAGGAAGAGAGAATCAAAAGAAAAGCAAAGCTTGATTGA